ACTGATACTCATTTTTAATAACACAAGGGATCGACGTCTGTTTATACCGGCAAGAACGCTATTTTGTGTGAGTGACATTGATGCAGATGATGGTAAGGCTAATTGTTTTCGTCTAGCAGGCAACACGAACGCGGAAGTCCTAACTCCTGAACGTAAGGAACAGCTTGCGCCTTCCGTCTTGACACTCACTCTCAGCTTCTCTCTGCTTGATCCAGAGTGGTGACTTCCTGGCGATGAACGATTCCCAACTTAGTTCGTCTTGACACCGACCTACCCTTTTATTCAGGATGGGTCGCCGATGACCATCTAAACTCGAGACTCGGCACACGGCATCCGGTGGAATAAATCCTCGTGTGATACCAGCTCTCCGGTTCGATATCTGTCATCCCCACCATGATGACCCTGAAGGCATGTAATGGGAGAAAGAAAGTCGGTATATGTTCCCGGGTCTATGCGATATTGGTACTTATTACTTATGCAGCGAACCAAATGAATCTGTAGTTGTATTACTATAAGTCCCTTAACCCAAATTTTCATCTCTATTCGCGCATCGCCGGTCGGGTTTCTCGCATGAACTTTTCTTCATCGCTGCTAGTGAAGCATCGTCATCTATAAGCTCGAATTCGCGTGTGAGTTTCATGAACTGGCGTTGTTTCAACCCCATTCAACGAATACGAATCGCTCTGGATGCCCTAGGAGATATAAGATGATTTGGAAATACTAGGAGGAGTAGGAGGAGTGTATACGGTAAGTTGGACCGGCCTTCCAAGCTGTGAGAATGACTTTATTTAACATGTTACAGAGCGGCTGGAATTGAACTGGTGAAGGAGCATCTGCAAGATCGACAAGGTTTGTGAAGCAAGTATAGGTTTATCGGAGCCCCACGATGAACTTTTCAGAGAATCCCGATTCGGCAGCACGGTTAAAAGAAAAGGATTGGAGATAAAAATCCGGTGGACCGTTGTTATTCGAGCAGCCAATCTGGGGATCGACCCGAAGATTCATTTCTGCATTCAATATGTTACATCTAGGTAAGTTGGCCGATGCGCTGTTGCTATTAGTATTCAATCTTAAATAATCAGTGTTTGTTTAAACATTTGTTCCCATGCAGAGGATCCAGCTTGGTCTCGTTTGTGGGACTTGATCCCTCGATTTTGAGCTCGTGATCCCATCTCAGTGCAGGCTATAGCATGAATTACATGCAGTTCGACTTGATGTTACGGGCAGGGAACAACATATCTTCCCGATCACACAGGAAAACTCGAAGCCAACCTCGAAGCCAACATCAAAAGTATTCAGATAGCACACTGCCTTACGATGGGAGTCGAACCCAGATCAGAACACCTAACCAGTTGAGTCAGTCACCCGAAGATCCATTGGAAAAAAGATAAAGTTCTCCTGGATGACCGTGTGGGTGTTCAAGGGACCAGCGGAGTACATCGTATCCGTCTCGAGCTAACAAAGCAAGACGTCAGTGAAAACAAGATACTGAGACCTTACAAATGAGGGAATCATTGTCCGCATCAGGATCAAACCCTTAGTTCGACACCTATCGGAGTCAGCAAGTACACAGACAAATGGTGGTGTGGAAACTCTGTAGTCTAGTACATTTATTTGCGGATGTATTGGAACAAGAATCCCTGTGGACATTCATATGCCAGTACAAGTACAATACCACAATTAAATATTGAATGTACTTGTTGAAAATATAAAACATTGTTCCCTCGGCATATTTCGAAGTTGTCAACTTGAAAGATGGGGATTGAACACATTTCAACAATGCTAATCAACTTGAGAGAGTAGGCTTATAAAACTTACAGCAGGAGATACACCTACTTCCTTGGGGTCGGCTCACTGAATGACAGGTACTTCCTGCTTAAGTATGAATTGTCGCATGCAAAAGCCCTGGTGAAGACATAAAAATGATACTAGCATGGACATGGTCAACAAGGGATTCGAACCCAATATTTCCTTAGCAAGCCAGATATGCTAACCAACTGATTCGTCAGCCCACATCTGTCCTTCATGTACATGTTCACTTGGAGATACAGCAATGGTAGGGCATATGTTGTTGAGTACCTAGATCAGTAAAACAAGAACTCTTAGCCCTGGCGGAAAACCTAGATTTAAAAAATTTATCAAAACATTTATATAGATGTCAGGGTAAGAGTCGAACCCAGGACATTAATGACATATGGGGCTGCTAGTTGACTGAGTATTCATCTGACCCTCACACTGGTAAGATGGTAAAATAGTCTGTATTTCTGTATCCTTTCCCTTCGTCTTAGAATTCAACTCCTTATACTTTCCACCTCATGTATTCTTTGACAAAACTTTGAATTTGGAGCCCCAGTAAAAAGGATCTGAATATTCCATTCAATGAATAGCTGATGTGGGGGGTTGAACCTCATGTTATAATGCCTAACCTATTTAGATGGTGGGCAGAGTATCAATAAATTCTCATTTTCCACTAAAGATTCAGCTTCCTGGGCATGTTAGAGGAACATTGGATTTTTTTTGGATGACTTCTTGAGTTCAATTCTATCAGTCATTCAATTCTAGTATTCCCCATTAGGAAGATATTCTATGACTTATTGTCAATATCATCACCACAAGTGCATTATCAACAAGATCAAACATTTCTACCTGTCAGACTTGATGTTGGGGGAAAGTAATAATACATCTTACTAGGAATGTAAGTCTCCATCGAGGAGCAGCAAGTAAGAGGTGATGTTCAAGCATTCAAGCTTCGCCAATGCATTTAAAAAAACTCAAGACCCTAGTCAAAAGCAGTCAAGACTCAAAAGACTACAATACCAAATCCATGGCCGAGGTGGGGTTCAAACCCACATAATAACATCTAGCCTACTTAGCTTCATCAGCTCAGTATCAATTCACACTTCTGAAGTAATAAAGGACATCAAACCATACAATATTAGTGTTTCAATGAAAAGTAGGGTGCATTCATGTGATGCAGTTCAGCCTCATCAGCCCACAATCCAAGACTTATTTCTCTCTTCCCTCTGTGTCATCATTTAGACCGGCACATATCAGCCCTTCTCGATCCTATGGCAGCTAAGGATCAACATACGTGACAATGTGACAGATAGATGCCAGAGAAACCATGTTTAAAATCGATAAAAATAGACAACTCTGAGGACACAGAGAACCATGACTGTCGATGTGCACCTACTGGGAGGATATCCCAGCCACCATCCCCTCTAAACTCTTTCTTACCTTCCTCACCATGCCATCGAGATGCTCAGATTAAAATCTGGAGCTGCATGTGGTTCTGTGCCAGCAGGCATAGCACCTGTATATCTGAAACCCTTGACTTCCATCATTGTCATCTAACACTGGGCTGCTCACATTGAAGAATTGACTCGAATCTGCCTTGGCTCAAGAACTCCCCAGGAGTCAAGTCCTCCTTCTGATGGTTACCTTGTACTGGCTGTATTGCTCAGTACCAAGCACTAATTCCTTCTTTCATCGATCGCACACATCTTCGTTCAATTGATGTGTCATAATGGACACCCAGCATGCTAAAGTTATTGAAAGAACTGCTTTCTTCATGGATGCGGCTTGGTTTTCCCAAAGGTGATGATATGTCTATGTGGGTGGCAGTTGTACTTGCTGTCTTCCTGGGAACAACTTTAAAAGTTCACCAACTGATCTAGGCAGCACAAATCAGGACTGTAATACTATATGTGAGGCACATCAGATGATAAAAACAGGAACAAGCAATGCACCACTTCCATCAATGTCATCCTCTTGTCTCCTCACCCTTTCATGAGTACAGTGTGCAGGGTCACAGAGAACACTATGCACCCACAGCTAGCAGAGAAATGGCATAATGTAATTCTATCTTGTAGCACTCAAATTTTTGATGCTCATACTATTTGAGGTTGAACTTATTTCTTGGCATGGTGATAGTTGGAGTCAATATTGGGTCTCTAATCAGAATCTCAGAGTCCTCCTCATGTCATCTGAAAGACCATAATCACGTTCTCTTCACTGTTGAGTTATCTTCTGTGCTTTCTGCTGATGACCTACAATGCTTCACTTACCTTGGCCTTGCTCCCTCTGTTGTCAAGGAATCAGTCTCACTCAAAGCTCCTGTCTTAACCATGTACCACTCATCAGTGCTCTGCTGTCCAGCCTGGTTGCAAGCCTCACTTCTCCACAGTACCTATGAGGGTATCTCTGTGTTCCTGTGTCTGGGGAGACATGAATGACTGAAATAAGAGGACTCAGTCAAGGCCTGGTTGGTGCTTTGGTGAATAACATGAGTAAGGAGAGTGAGGAAACAGAGGGTCAGTTGAATGAACTGTTGCTGATGAGCAAGCTTGCAAATGGGGCGAAGCAACATCCTAGCCTGTTGCAGGGTAAGATCTACATTCTCTTGCTGTCATATCTCACAGACTGATGAATGTGGCAGCATATCCTTCCTTCATGGATGAGGCAGTTCGAATAGTAGCTATATGTGCAAGATCAGGAGGATCAATACTCATTGGATGCGACTCTATTGTGCATTTGATTGGCAAGATGTTCTATGTTCATCTTTCTCCCCACATACTTTGACATTATTCTTGTACTCTCATTGATAGTATGAGATTCTGGTGTCAGTTTCTACTGGCAAGCATGCCAAGTAAACTTATCAGAGACAAAAATCTTGCACAAGACATCATTACTGAGTGGAATCAAACTCAACCCTGCATTAGCTTCCAAGTGATCCAGATAGCTAATGTGTTGGTACTCACATTTAAATGAAAACACTTGAAACTGGGATCTGCTTGACATACTAAGCTTGTCAGTTGTTGCTATGGTATATATAAAAGTCCCCCTTTCTAAATGGCACAGACTGGGGCTTCTCCAGAAAACCTTAGTTTTGGATACAGCAGAGTTTCATACCAGTCAGTTACCACCGGAGATCTGGCTCGAGGTACCCTTAAAACATTTCAGTGTTACTGAAATCGAAAAAAACCCAGCGATCATTCTATTGGCCAACGTGGGAATCGAACCCAAGACCTTCGCGTTAATACGTCTGCAAAGTAACAATATTAGCACGACGCTCTAACCAACTGAGCTAGTCGGCCACACGCAGATCTCTGGGTTACCGTAAGACATTCATGTACATGTGGGGAGGTCTAGACCTGTCATCCGGCCCACCCCGAAGGAGACTTGACCCCATGAACGAAGTGCGAGCTCTAGAATCCCTCTCACCGCTGCTCTGTGGGATGGTTCTCGCTCGAGCCCTTTGATTCTTGATTCTCGGTCGTTCCATCCTATGGGTATAAAGTCTGGGGTGTCGAGGAGGGAGGGGTATCTATCTACATCTTTCCCAAGTACGAGTACGACGCGTCCGCTTCTCTGATGTGGGTTATACCCTGACGTGCCCGTTCGTTTAGCTTCACCCCACCCCATCCCATGTCGGAGATAACGCGTAGCATCTGGACCGTCGTGCTTATCGCTATGGGCGAGGGGAAGAAACAACGCTAGCGCTGAGGTTCGTCTTGTCGGCGTTAGCTTGGCGCCTTGTTGACTTTCACCTACCTTAGCTCTTCCCGAGCGTTCTTTTCGGAATCAAAATCACACCACCACTCTCCAACCCAAAGCCGGTCAACTCTCTCTTTATTTATTCATCCACACAATCAAATCACAAAGACCCGGGCCCGGTTCCCCCACTCATCCAAGTTGGTACGTTGTGCCACTCTTCCCCGCGTTCGGGTCTGACGAACTCCGTTAGTACCACTACTTATTATGATAACCCCCAAGTCCAAAAGCAAATGTTATGTACAACTACGCTTGTGTCTGTATGATTACCAATTAGCATCCCATCCCATCCGCCACCATTACTGCTGGAATAAAAATAAGTCTTCGTATGCGTGTCTTTACATATCCTTCTGAACCAACATTACGTGCACCCAGGTGAAGACAACTGCGCGCGCGTTTCTGTATGATTACGAATTAGCAATAGCATCCCTTCCGCCACTTGAATAAGTCTGTGTGTGTCTTTACATATCTTGCGGAGGAAAGCAGGTTACCTTCTGAACAGCCGTTACGTGCGCCCAGGCGAAGATAACTGCGCGCGTACTTCTGCCAATAGCATGCCATTCTTTACCACTTCAATAAGTCTGCGGTATCTTTATACATTACGTCGGAGGAAAGCGGGTTACCTTCTCGCCGTTACGATATGCAATGCACCCAGTTCGAGACAACTATGCGCGCGCTCCTGTCACTAATAGCATCCATTCTACTTCCCGAAAAAGTCTGCGCCAAGTCCGCAACGTATCGCATTACGTCGGAAGAAAGCGGGTAACCCTTTCCACCTGTGCGCCCAGGTCAAGATAAATTGTCAATGAACGTAAGACTCGCAATCTCGAACAGTACACCGCGCTCCAACGCCACTCGATATCGGGGTCCGGCGATATATGTATATTAATACAGCCTCGAATAACGAAGAACAACCGAGCCCTAGTACGCATTACCGATAAGATATACCCATACCTATGCTATACGAAATGTTCGAATGAATATAGTATTGACGCGTGATAAGAAAAGAAAAAAACCCAAAAAATGAAATAAACAGTGTTGTGTTATGAATGTCGATGGCGATGATGATGGTGGTGATGATGGGGCCGGTGTTCCCGCTGGTAGTCGTATCCGGGGGCGACGGTGACGGGTGTGGGAGTGCGATGCCCCCCTTGGAACACCCTCTGCAGGAACGAAGGATGTCGTTGCGGCGATAGAGGCGTATCGGAATCCGTCGACGAAGACGTGGAAAACACCACCGGCTGAACTCCCTTCGCGTCAGACACTACGTACGATACCCAAAAGGCGGAACGGAAGGACGCACCACGACTCTAGATGATGACCTGCCTCCTTTTTGTTGTGGTGGAACAACCACGTATCCTCCTGGTGGCGGCGCGGGTGGATTGGGATACGGCGTTGGGTAATATGGGTTGTGATTAGTATACCCGGGGTAATACGGCGCAGGCGGAGGAGGCGGTGGTGGTGGTGTAGGCGTAGGTGAGACGTAGTAAGTCTGGCTGGAACGGTGTTTTGATTGCGACCGGCGAGTGGAGGAAGAGTGACGTGTGGTTGTGTGAGTGTGGGTGTGCGGTGGTGGCGCGGGGCCGTGTAGTGGTATTGCGGGCTGGTGGTGACGAGAAGCAGAGGGAGGGGCAGGGGCAGGACCATGGTTGTGTGGCGGCATGGGTCCTGGCATCGGAGTGTACAAGTTCATCAGCGGCGGAGGGCCCGGAGGGGGTGCTCGCTGGCTGAAGCGCTGATCCCGCGGATGAGGACGGGCTGTGGTGGAACATCATTGTCCCCCACATCCGAGCGTGGACCAAAGGGCGACCTGTACTCGGAAGCATGAGCTTGAGCATCGTCGACCCAGCAAGAGATCCTCCGCATAGTCACTTGCTAACGCTCTGCTGCCTTTGGAGAGTAGATAGCATCCATTCTACTGCCCGAAAAAGTCGGCGCCCTGTCTAATCAGTCCCAACTTTGCCATTTGGAGCATAGCGGGGACGCTAGAATAACTGAATAGATGCATTATGGCAGTGCTCGTAGTACTGGGGTAGAGAATCCTCTTCAAGAGTCATGTAATTCGTCGTGGTCTCCCAGGAAAGTAGAGAAGTACCGAGGAGAGCTCACAACTGGCGGAAAGAACCCATGCGGAGCGTAGATCCAATCTGCTTTCGTAGATAGGCATGACGACCAAGTGTTTGCCAAGTGTCATAGACACTTTTAAATCAGCACCGCGGACGTACTATACACGAAAAAAAAAAATCAGACGCTAGACCTGCTGTTATGTTTCTTAGGTGGAGTACCAAGGATGAACTAACCTTTATTTAAACCAAATGTCTGGGAAGGCAGTACACTGCGCCAAGATAAACTTGAACAGGATTAAAAGCCTCATTTTTTGAAGCTCGAGTACGGGAGGGAACGAAAAGAGCAACTGCGTTTAACCTATGTATGTCGACATGGTGGTAAACGGTAAAGAAACGGGCACGGTAAGAAACGGGTTCGGAGCCTGTTGATTCCGGCGGCTCGTACAGCCACTAGTAACTCCAATATCATTCATTTAACATCGTGCTTAACCTGCTTGGAATGGTGATATTTTTTTCAAGTATTCAAAATCAAGATAGGCGGTGCTGTTAGGGGTGAATGATATAGATGAGTCTGTGAGCGGAGGATAAATCCAATGTTACGGCGTGCAAATGGATGTGGACAGATTCACTTCTCGTTCAAATAAAATGGGTTTAAAGCTTGCTTTACGCAAGTCTAATTGCGGCAAGGGCAGAACGGAGATTGGCACCGGGATTCCAAATCAAGTCACCCAGGGGACCGGGATCCTCGTCATAGTGCCGTTCGAAGGACCGAGATCCTCACGGTAATCTTAGCCCGACACTTGCTCGAAGAGGTTCTCGCAAGTGTTTCTCGATCGGTTCCTGGTAAGACAGTGCAGCGAAGAGAGGAGCCACATCGCTCTCTCACTCACCCTCTCACTGTCCTACCAGGTAAGCTTGAACGGTCGCTCTCTGATTTGCCTTCTCGCTGTCGTACCAGACTCGGTGCTGTAGTTTTCTCGATTACCCTCCCTCCCTTCCCTAGTTACTGCGGGCTTCGTCATTAGACCTTTTTCATATTCGCCCGACTTTCCCTTGGATATTTCATATCTTGGATAATTTTCTGACTACTAGTACAAACCATTGGACGAATTTTTTCTTTGTTCTCTCCACTCATGTACTGTATCCACCGGCTCAGACACACGACACGCTGAAATATATGTTTTTAGGGCCCCCTGGAGACGTTTCCGGGGGCCTACTTTTGGCTACCATCGGAGTTCTAAGCGAGCAACGCAATGGTAGTGTACCTAACTGAAGTCTTGTTTGCCAGCAAAGATCCTTGGAGGTAATAGCATATCGACATCAGTACGAAATTATACATAATTGAACAGGTTCCATTAAAATACAATAGCTTTGCTTACACGAACGTGAGAGACAAAGCAATATCCTAGATTAAAGAGAACGAGCCGCACGCATACGGTATTCCTGATAAATGCTGAGGATAAGTTCATGTTGCGCCGTGGTTCGTGACTAGGCAACTCTATGACTTTCAGGGAAAGCATGAATGTACAGATTGAGGATTGGATATAGCGTAGGGAACAAGGCATAGCAAGGTCAAATCGGAACGTCAAGGTATGACTAAATAGATATTTCAATGACGGAAGTTCCTGCGCGGGGCTGGAATCCTCGAGTCAGGAGGCACCGGGTAGGCAAGTTGAAAAATCAACGGGCGGACGTATTACGTCGAACAAGTGATTAATGTCTTATGACCTGTTGTCTGTTGTGTCTGAGCTCCTAGAATACCCAAGTCTATAGGAGCATCGTGTGCTCGAGAAGACTTGGTCGGAAACACGATCCGTAGCATGTCGCCTGAGTCGCGTTGCGCACATACCTGTTATCTCCGATATCCCATCTCGTGTTCAAATCCTGTCGCAATGATTAATATACTGCATTTATCGTACACAAGACCAACGCGCCAAGCATCACAAGAAAACCATTGATATAAAACCCACGCATCTGACCAATTATTATGCTTGTTTGATATTCGGTTTGCAAACGGTCACTTGATTGAAAACAAGGAGACATCGACATCGCAACCTGCAAGTAATGATACAGGAAGTTGGATTAGAACTCGTCATTTGACCTTCTTTCGGTAAAAACAGGCACGAAGGAAGCAAGTCAGTTATGATCGTGGGGAAGGAACCAGATTCATTAACGTCCCGGAGAAATAGGTAACCTGGTGATTCGACATGTGGGCGTAGACATTTCGAATATGGCTCCAGAAGTAATGAAGGATGTACGTATCGAGATCCTCGCTGTATAATGCTAGCCGGGGAATGACAGTGCGAAGTTTGAATTAGACATTGACACGGGAAGGAGCGATCCCGGCACTTCTAGATGGCTTTCCCAGAGTCAGATCTGGCTTCATTATCGTGAGATTGTCACGAAGGAAGCTTTCATTTGCATCCTATGCACACAGCGTATAATGAATGAATTACCGAAAGACCGGCATTTTCATG